ACACTTTAGAATTAATATGTGTACACGAAGCCTGCCACACATCTGTTGCCGACATAGAATATTAGAAAAAGTACACTCACATGTATAGTAGTTAATTTAAATATTAGCATACGATCATAAATAATTCAACCAAAGTCTTATATTTACATTTTTTTTAAAAAGTTGATACCGTAAATATTGTATTTAAGATTATAATGTATGAGATTATAAAATAGCCATGTAAAAGGACAATATATACACACACTAAAAAAATGTTTTTGTCCAAAAAGTAAGTTTTTTTTTAAAGTTTAAATTCTAAAGGATTTTATCAACAAACGTATACATCTCATTTAAAGCTCTAACACGTTTTGCCCTATACTTTCGTTTGACATGTACGTTCAAAACACCCAGCGTTGCCAATCGAAAGTCATGATCGGATCTATCCACTTGATGAGATGATTGTATCATCAAATTAAACTTTAGAGGCGACAACTGTCAACTTCCACGTGAATCATAACTATCACATGGGGCTTTTAATAATGTTTGGCAAAAAAAAAAAAAAAATAACTGTAAGTGTATAGAGAACGTTGAGATAATAATCTGATACAACATTTTGCCCTATACTTTCGTTTGACATGTACGTTCAAAAAACCCAGCGTTGCCAATCGAAAGTCATGATCGGATATATCCACTTGATGAGATGATTGTATCATAAAATTAAACTTTAGAGGCGACAACTGTCAACTTCCACGTGAATCATAACTATCACATGGGGCTTTTAATAATGTTTGGCAAAAAAAAAAAAAAAAAAATAACTGTAAGTGTATAGAGAACGTTGAGATAATAATCTGATACAACTGACACATTTTGAATTTACTTTTAAAATCGGTAATAGAAAAGGTTTGATAGCTTTATGTTAGTTTTTACTGAGTTAAACGATTTAAAATACATAGTTAGTTGTTTTTCACAATAAGGGGGAAAAAAGCATAATCTTACAGTCATTTCTATATGTACTCAGCACGTTTCATATATATCACTTGTCATAAGCATAGAGCATTGTTCAGTTATATCGAGCACTTTTCAAATTTATGGACAATGCCGTTCATAGGATTTTTCGGGCCAAAGCAAATCCAGATTTTTAAACTCCACAAATGTTTTTTTTTTTTTTTTAAAGTTTAAACGTGTCAAATGTAATTGTATCCACAAACAATTTACACATGGTTCGTCTTATTGAACAGGTCCCGATTTATGTACTTGGTTGCCCCTATTTCGGCAGTTCCTGATTTGTTATATCCAGGACCCCTGCTTCTGAACTGCCCTGTGTATGGAATAAGTTCATTCTTTAGATTGTTAAAAGAACAAACGAATTTAACATCAACGTAGTGCTTTCGGGAGAAAAAGGGTTGGGGGGGGGGGGGGGGGTTGAAACAATTTTTAAAAACGTATAATTATTGTGAACATGACCATTTAAATTGGTGATATCAAAATAGAAAACAATTAAATTATCTCATATTTTACCCAGGATCCAGTCTTCCACATGTTATACACACGTTGGGCTATGTGTTGATAAACTGACAACTCATTTATACACTTCAGCTTGTATCTACTTTTAAATTAATTTTAAGTGCACTTCTCCTTCTCTAGGTCTTTTTTTTTCCTTTACCCGAATATACTTTTAAAGGAATTATTGTAAATTTGCTTGCAGAGAAAAAAAAAAATCTTTATACCTAATAATTAATATTTATTTCTACTTCGAAAAGATACATCACAGTACAGTGTTTACGGTATGTCAAAACTATTTTGTGACGTATTGATGTTTTCACCATAGGCATGGACACACACGGCTTCAACCTTGGACAGAAATATCAAAGACACTTTGAGATAGTTTAAAGGAAATAATGGACTTGATCTGGATAGATTTCTGAAACATTCACGGTGGTTCTCACAGTGTTCTTAACGTTCGCACTGCTGTGACTGGACGTTTTTTGAATGTTATTTCTCTTAGCTATCTTAAGCGTCAAGACATAGGATTTGGTGTTAACAGTATTTGTCAATGGCAAATTATGTATACTTTTAATTCTTAATATTAGTTTCTGATTTTTATTTAAATATTTGTAAGAATTTCTTTTACAAATATTTATATATATATATATATATATATATATATATATAT